ATTATACTACAAGGCTATTGCGATAAAATCAGCATGGTACTGGCAACAAAATAGACCTGAGGATCAACGGAATAGAATAGAAGACGCTGAAACCCCTACAAACACACTCAGCCACCTTATCTTTGACAAAGGGGCCAAACATACTCACTGGAAGAAAGATAGCCTCTTTAAAAAATGGTGCTGGAAAAAGTGGCTCTCTACATGCTGAAAACTAAAACTTGACACAGGTCTATTATCATGCACTAAGCTCAAGTCAAAATGGATTAAAGATCTAAACATTAAACAGAGACACTAAATCTCCTGGAACAGAAAGTAGGAGGAACTCTTGAAGACATAGGGGTAGGCAAAGAGTTCATGAACAGAAATCAAATTGCACGGGAAACACTTGAAAGAATTAACAACTGGGACCTGCTCTTACTGAGAAGTTTTTGCACATCAAGAGAAATTACCAACAAAGTGAAAAGACAAGCCACAAATTTGGAAAAAATCATGACAAATAAGTATTCAGACAAAGGTCTGTTCTCTAGAATTTATAAAGAATTAAAAAATACTAGGGCCCCAAAATTTAAAGACCTAGTCCAGAAATGGGAATCTGAGATGAACACACACTTCTCAGAGGATAAAATTATAGAAGTGAATAAATATGTGACAGAATGCTCCACATCAATAGCCATCTGTGAAATGCAAATTAAAACAAAATTCGGATATCATCTCATGCCAGAAAGAACAACTATCATAAAGAAATCAACCAACAACAAATGTTGGAGAGGCTCTGGGGAAAAAGGAACCCTTCTCCACTGCTGGTGGGAATGTAGACTGGTGCAACCATCATGGAAATCCGTGTGGAGACTCCTTAGAAAAGTTGGACTGGAAATTCCATTTAAAGCAGCCACCCCTCTACTGGGAATTTTCCCGGAGGATCTGAAAACATCATATCATAGTGATATATGTCCACCTATGTTTATAGCACCATAATTTGTGATAACCAAATCTTGGAAACAACCAAGATGCCCATCACCTAAGGAATGGTTGAAAAAGATGTGGTATTTTTATACAATGTAATATTACTCAGCTATAAAGAATGATAAACTCAAAGCCTTTATATTGAAGTGGGTGCCACTTGAAGATATACTCATAAGTGAAATAAACCAGACACACATGTGTAAATATCATATAGTTTCTTAGTATAAGAACTCAAAAGAAGAAATACAAATAGAAAGGTATAATACAAGTAAAAGGAAAGCAAGAACTTGAGGACTAACTAATTAAAAGAGGGAAAGGAGAAGAGCTAGGAAACATGACAGTGGCAACTCATACAGTTACATGTAGAACATGGGTAAGGCAATGGTCCTGAGAATCTTCAGAAGAATTTTGAATCTAGCAGTTAATTGGAAAGATTCTCACCCTGACTAACTATGCATACTGACACCTGTGAACTAAGCAACTGCACTGAAGATGGCAATTTGTAATAGTACATTCATTCTTGGAGTGCCTGTCATTCTGGTCTTTTGAATACGGGCTGCTTGTCATGACATGCCAGTTGCTGCTGTGCTGTCTCTTGGGTAGATCACAGTTCAAAAAGAAGGGGGTAGTGAATGAAGGCAGGAGACAGGAAAAGAAATGTTGTGGGACTATCCTGCTTCAAGATTGTATATGGTTAGATTTCTGGACTTATGTGTAAACATACAAATTATATAATTCTTTATACCTATTTTTAAAATATATTCCAATTTTTAAATGTTTTTTCATCATATTCTGTAGGGACTTAAAGTTCAACATATCAAAACTTGATGAAAAACACCTGTTCCATGTTATGCCTAAGATGTTTGATATTCAGACAGATAGTGAGGTTAAGCTTAACAGCCTAGTTTCTACGGTAATAACAATAAGCTTCTCTTCTGGAGGGTTAAAAACCTAAGTTTCCAGACCCAAATCAGAAAAAGGAGGGCTGAAAGGAAAGCCAATATTTTGGCCCTAGCCTTCCAAAGTCAATTAAGATTCAGGACATATGAGAACTTGTACTGTAACATCACGTAACTCAGTAGTGTCCCAAATTTTCTCATTGAGGAGATTATGGGGCCAAAGAGGAAAGTGACCGATGACGTAGAGTGCCTAAGAAGAGTCACTTGGAGAGAAAACATTCTCTCAGGCTTTCACAGGGAGCACATTGGCCAAGCAATGGCCATGACTCATCCACATGGCTGACACTGACAAGTGATCTACAATCAGAGGTACAGGATCTCAGCATACATCCTGAGGGGATTTCACTGACCTTATCTGACCAAAAAAATACAACTCTTGTTGCATAGGTCTTGCTTTATCTTGGTCTTAACCATCCAGCAGAAAAGTATAAAAACGAAGCATAAGAAGTAAAACATGGTGTTTCGTTGAACTGTAGGGGAATCAGGTCAACAATTTCTGACATTGCCCGTGAAGCGAAAGACCCAATACTATTATGGGCTCCTGGGCTCTTTTAGAATATTTTGCTGAATTAACACACCTATAATATTCAAATGACGGAACTAAACAAAAAAGGGGATACAGATGAATGTCCATTTTGTATCTGTGTATTCAAAGTGGTTAGGATAGATATATAGTTACATTCTCTTAATGAAATAAATAGAGATATTTGTTGTAATAGTGTTTGTAAATAGGATCTCAAGTCCGCATCTTGTAGAGCAATTAACAAGAATGTATGCAGTGTGTTAATTATTGAAACTCTCCCAGCAATTTGGTTTGAAACTGTCTCATTGCTATTCGTTTCTCAATAAAATTATGGAAAAAGAAGGAAATTAAATCTTTAAAGCATGGATTGCGACAACAAAAAGAGAAACAGATAAAAACATAATAGGAAAAAAAAAACCATAATAGGAAAGGACACTGCTTCAGGCACCCAGCAAATGCAACCTCCCACAGGCCTGTGTGAGAGCATGCACGGGGCTCAAGGGGCAGAAACAGGTGAAAGGTTGCTGGGGGAGGGGTGGAAAGGGCACAGAAGGGAGCGAGGATGACACATGTTTTGCTGCGTCTATCAAAGCAATTCCCCTTCATCCAGCTGCTGGGACAGGCAAGGACGGCATTGGAGCCCGTGAAGCCCGTAAGCCACGTGGCGCCCTGGGAGGACCCCTGGCAATCAGCTGTAGGTAGGCAGGAATGGATGCAGGGGTGAGGCTGGGAAGTGACCTTGGGGGAAGAGGCTGGTCGGGCACACAGGGCATCTTTCGTCAGACTTACGTGACCTGAGGTGTCGCTGAGGCAGGACCTAAGTTCTGCGCAGCCAGCAAGGATGGCACCAGTTTCTTTGCCGTCTTTGGCCACATGTAGAGAAGGCACTCTGCTCTCTTGACCTTGACCAAGTTAGCAGCTGCGAGACTTTGTATCACCTTATCCAGGCTTGACTGTGTACCTGCAAGGCAGAGCGGAAGGAGAGCTGTTACTCTCCCTTCAGGAGGCTGAAGAAGAGGCCAGCAGAATGAATTTGCATCGAAACAGTCTCCCTTCTCTACTGCAGTTCAGTGAGCATGATCAGATCACTCTCTGAGAATGCTTTCTATTATGCAAAACAGACACAGTCCTACAGACCCAGATAGTTACTGTGCAGTCACAGCAGAGGGGACGTTTAAGGAATAGCAGTCAGTCATGATATCCACCAGCGCGTTGGTCTGACACTACTTATTCAATCCTTACGTAGGCCCTATTTGTAGGTTTGTTACTATCATTTTCATAAATGAGTAAACAGAGTAATAGTTAAGCCACCTGCTTAAGAGCGGGAAGCAAGAGGCGGGGCCAGGATGTGCCCTTGGAGTTACTAGAGAGAGTATGCTCAGACCACCGCAGCTGTACTCAGAGGCCAGTGGCACGAGGGGCTGTTGTTATTCCAGGAAGAGAAGGCCTGAGGGAGAGCACTGTTATCATCCCTGGGAATCCAGAGGGACACTGGCTGTGTCACGTTAGGTGTATCCCGAGTGCTCAGCTAACAAGAAAGCAGCTTATCCAGTTCCTTGCTCCTGCCATTGTCTGCAGCATCTCAGTCCTGCACCTTGACTCCTAGTAGCCAGCACAGGACTGGATGTGAGTGCAGGTTCTGAGGTTTCCCAGGGGAAGTAAAGTCCGGGAGGATGTGCTCACGGTGGGGAGTGCCCGCCAGAGCAGCCTCAGCGGGCCCAAGCCACCAGCACACAGCCAAGGCTCCTTACTTTGGATCTGCAAATGCTGCTTCCAGTTGATGATCTCCGACTTCCCAAGGACCTCCTGGCAGCTCTGGGGATCCTTGGAGAAGATCTGGTAGTTGTTGCTGTAGTGATCAAGGTCATCCGTCATCTCCTGCGAGGTTTGCCAACACGGAAAACAGGTCAAATTGCTTATACCAAGGCACCTCCATACCTGTGAGCTAGCTTTCACTGTGCTGTTATTTTACAAAGTGAAATATGAATTTTCAATATATTTTTACTGCCCTTCAATAAATCAAAAAGTAAAGTCAAAGAGTCTACTTGCTTTACATTTTAAAAAGTCTTTAACTCAGTATTTATATATTGTGTCACAACTTAATATCAACCAAAAATCCACTGTTTAAGAAGCATCCCTCCATGCTTTTGTGGTCTTCAGGACAAAGAATAAAAGTAATATTGTCCAAGGCGAGCTTTGGTTGCAGACTAAACAGTACTCTCTTTCAAGCAGTATCAGAACAAATCATTTTGAGCATGACAGTATTAAAATTGATAGACAAACCTGGTAGTGCTAGAATTTCCACTGACACATCAGAAAGCTATAAAAAACAAAGACACACAATATCTTTACAATGTAAACCACTGACCGGCAATGCTTAAAAGACTGGTTTGAATTTCTAACAAAATCAAAACACAAAACTCGCTCAAAAATACATTCTCAGAATTAACAAGTTCAGGATGGGATCATTTGACGAAGAACTGGAGCACAAATACCGCAACAGGGTAGAACAGCTGGGAAGGTTTTGCAGAAATACAACTTGGAAAAAAAGAAGAAGAAGAAATACAACTCGGCACTAACACCACTGACAACCATATATTAAACCTAATATTAAAAAACATTATTCCATTTTTAGATATTAATACTTATTTTTACTTTATTTTGGTATGCCATGTTGTTTGTGGATTTTAATAAATACCTATACGCATATATGGCATGCGACATCATGTAATGAGGTATATACAGTTAAAGAAACAGTTACCGAATAGGTCACTCCAAAACAGTGACCACCACCCTGAAGAGACTCAACAGATCCACCCCCGCACTCGCTTAGCCTACTTTCTTTTGGATGAAGACCACCTAGAACCTAGCATTCAGCAGCCAATTCAGGAAAGCTTTACCATCCATACTGTGCATGTTACACATTAGATATTTTGATTTCTTCACCCTCCACGGATGCTAATTTGATTTCTTTAGCCTGCATCTACTCTCCCTCGTCCTGATGAGCTACTGTTTTGTCCCCTGGGTCTGTATATACTTGAATTTTAAACACTAAAATAAGTGCAATGGTGCAAAATTGTTCTGTGGTTAACTTATTTCTCTTAGTATAATTGTATCTTTTTATGTCTTCTGTGGAAAAATCGCCCAGGGTTCAATCAAAATTTTTTTTCAATTATTAGGCTCTCTGATTACTTCAAATATCTCAACTCTTGAGTTCTTAGATGTCTTCATACTTTAATTTTCATTTTTTATTCCACCAAGTTTGAAACACACGATGGCCACATTCCTTGTGTGGCATTGGTGCATGCTCATGACCCAACTCAATTCCTTTGATCCCCTGTGCCCTTCCCTCTACCTCCCTACACCTCCTTCCACCACTGTTCCCCTATCTTGTGAAAGATCTATCCCCAACTTACTGTTATATTTCATTTTGCTTTTTATTGATACTTTAGATTCCTCCTATACAGAAACCACGTGATATTTAAGCTTGGGTGTCTGATTTATTTCACTTAATATTGTGGTCTTAAGGAGAATCCACTTTCTTTTACAAAACTCAAGTTTATACTTTTTAATGATAGTTTACTACTCCATTATGTATAAATATAACATTATATTCATTCATCTATTGATAAACATATAGGCTGCTTCCAAGATTTAGCTATTACACATTACATGTATCCATGTACAACTGAACTATCTTTAAATCCTTGGGGAAGATACTTAGAAGGGGCATAGTTCCACGGATTGGAACTTCTAGTTTTAGTGTTTTGAGAAATTCCATTCACATTTGTTATTATGTGATTTTGTGTTACTAGCCATTCTTTCTCAGGTAAGATGGAATCCCAGTGTTGTCTTCAATTTGCATTTCTCTAAAGGCCAGATATGTTGAGCTTTTTCATGTATTTATTGGTCATTTATTTTTCTTCTGAGAAGTGTCTCAGATAACTACTTATTGTAGTTAGCCATTGTTGACTGGATCTTTTATTGTGTGATACTAACTTCTTGAATTCTTTATATACTTTAGATGTTAGTCTTCTGTCTAATGAATTGCTTGCAAAGTTCTTTCCCTATTTTATAGGTTGTCTCTTCACTCTGTTGATTATATGGTTTGCTGTGAAGAAGCTGTTTAATTTGATATGCTCCTATTTGGTGGTTCTTGGTATTATTTCTTGTGCAGTTAAGTTTCTGTGCAAAAGTCTTTGTCATGCCTGAGCTTTCAAGAGTTACACTATTTTGTCTTCTAGCAGATTATTTCTGTCTTACATTTGGAAATGTGATCCACCTGGGAATGGACCTCAGTACTGTTAAAAACACAAAGGTAATCCAGATATTATCATATATTTTTTAAAAAAACTAATATCAGCAACCATGCAATGCTGGCAATAGCAAATAAATCAGCAAGAGTAATGTCACTTAAGACAAAGTAGATATTTCTATACCATAAGAACCAATAATGTACCATCCTGAACTATAAGAGATCTAGTGCTCGCTTTGGCAGCACATATACTACAGTTGGAATGATACAGAGAAGATTAGCATGGCCCCTGCGCAAGGATGACACTCAAATTCATGAAGCATTCCATATTTTTTTAAAAAAAGAGATCTATAATTACAGTGTAAACACTAAGAAAACCCAAGGATTACAAAAGATAGCCAGTAGCCATATCACTCAGAACATTCCTGAGCTCATCTGATCTTAAGAGCTAAGCAGGATTGGACCTGATTAGTATTTAGTACATGGATGGGCTGCATATAATAAAAATCTACTAAATGCAACAATTATACCTTCACTAACCTTAGAAAAGAATTCAACACTAATAACACAGAGCTAACTATCTAAAGGTTAATAAAGTTTAATGGTCACACAAGTAAGATATGGGGTGATGAACGGAAGAATGAAGAGAGAAAATTTGAAAACTTAAATGATGGAAGATGAGAAGGAAGAGAAAAATACGAGATAAAGGATCCTATTAAAGTATAGAAGGATAATAATAAAATTAGATAAAGGTATTGGAAAAGAACAAATAGCCACAAAAAGAAAAACAAATGAACATAAAGAAATAAAGAACAGGAAAATGTTAGATAGGCCCAAAAAAGAAAAATTTCCCAAACTCAAAGAAAACAATGAAGAAGAAAGAGAGGAAAAAGAACCAATGAGTCCAAAAACAAAAACAAAAGCATTTCTGAGTGGCTTCGCCTCATGGTCCACAACTTTGGAAACCAGCAAGTTACAGTTTTCTCCACCTAGCTTTACTTTCTGTTGGAGTGTAACGCTTTCCCTCCTCCAGCTGCCACTCTGTCCATGCACCAGAGGTCGTGTCAACTGTCCAAGTTGAGGCCTATCCCTTCTCATCTTGGTCGCTGGAGAGACTATCAGACCTCTGGTCTGTGCTGTGAAGGGTTAAAGGAGCCCACTGTAGTTAGTTCTGATGCTTTCAGATCCAGCCATTGCTGAGCACAACACAAGCTGGCTTCTCACTGAGGAGGACAGGGCCCAGGTCCTTTCCAGCCTCCATTTAACCTTCTCAGGGGATCTGTTTAGTCCACTCCTTACCCACAACCACCTCCTGTGGCCGTCTCTCACTCAGACACTGTGGGACAGTTGTACTGGGAACCCTAAAGTGAAGGGATTTTGTACTTTTTCTGAATCTCAGTCTCAGTCTGTGAGACACATCCCCAAATGGAACTGATTAAACACTCATGACAACACAGCGGGCGCTGCAGTGAACTGCCTCTCCAGCAGTTGCCTGCTGTGTGGAAGAAGTCACCTTGCTGGATGTATAGCTCACAACCACTGTGGGTCCCGCCCTCCTGTGGCCAGCACCACTGCCAGGTGGGGCATTTCTCGCTGGAGGTGCAGGCCCCTGTGCTCACTCTGTGTCTGTGAAAACCAGCCTGCCTTCGTGAAACCAGGGTAGGCATCCAGATTGCTTCACTCTCTTCTCTGTATTGTGATCCTTTTTTGAAACTTCTCTCAACCTTCTAAGTTTCTACAAGTTCCTTCTTAATTCCCGGAGATCCAGTTCTCTCCTCCTCTGTGAAGATGTCTGAATTCTGGGTCTCAGAGAGCCTGAATTTTGCTGCTGATCACTACTCTGCTGTTTGGTTCCCCACATACATACATTTTTACCTTGTGATTTTTAACATGCTTAAAACATACTTCTATTTAAAGTCTGTTAGTCAGCTTAATTGAGTGACTTTTAAAAGTCTAGAACTACAATTATGCTTCAAAGTACTGTTATCATCAATTTTCTTGAAGATTTCACTAATTTCTTCATATTTACCTTCATATATTTTAGGTATTATTTTTCTCTACTAATAATGTGTTCTCTACTCTTGTCATGCTGTCAAAATCTACTTAACAGGGAAACCTGATTTGGCTGAAATAGCTACCTAGAGGGTGCTTCAGTCCTGTCCCTGCATCTGCAGTCGTCTCTTGGCCAGTTCACTTCTATATCTTAATTCTATTTTATTTTATTTATTTATTTTTTGTGGAACTGGTGATTGAACTCAGGCCCTTGTGTTCGCCAGACAAGCGCTTATTCTACTGAGCTATCCCCTACATTTGCAAACTTGGTTGGTTGGTTTGTTTGTTTTTGTGGTACTGGGGATTGAACTCAGGACCTTGCCAGGCAAGCGCTTATTCTACTGAGCTATCGCCCCAGCCCTCACTCCTATATCTTAAAGCGTAGTATTTAAGCAATCAAAACTCTTATAGCAGTCGCATAAGTGCTCCTGAATGCTCCTGCACATCGTGAGGTTCATCCACTGACTCAAGATTCCTCCAGACTGTGACCCTCTTGAAGACAGGGCTAACCAATCACCACCCAATTCGTTTGTGTTTCTCTAAGATCTACCAGCCGGCCAGACTCATGTTACACAGCAAATATAACCACTGCTGCACCGTGCTCTAGCTCGCAACTTACCTGCTCCTGAGGACAGACAATGACTGTATTATAATCAGGCCATTTGTCCACCAGAGCCTTCACATTGAAGAGATTTCCCTGGTTCATATGGAATATGGTCCCATAAACCTGCAACATTGCAACCAAGTGGGAGGAGAACGACAGTGCAGGTTAGTAATGTGCTTATGTGACAAAGCAAAACTTGCTTCTACGAAATTAAGGGTGTGACATATAAGACACCTAAGGTGGCTCTTAGGTTATATTTTTTATCCCCCAAACAGATATGGATGAAATCATAAGAAAAAAATGTATCTCCAGATAAGTGAAATAAATTATCACTCATTCTTGCACACATTTCTCTTCTATCATTCATTTTCTTTCATATCAATACAGTTTCATAAACAAAATTATTTAGTATATATTAGTTTAATGCCTATTTTACCCGCATGCACTGTACATGGGCTCATTTCCATGTAATTAAATATGTGTATGGAAGCACACTTCAAACTACATAATACTTATTGTGTTTTGATTTTTTGCCTCTCCTTTTGGGGGGTAGAAGACATTAGTATCTCCCAACCTGACAGACCTATATGCATTCTTGTCAATGTAGAAGACTCTGTTGGGGTGGCAGAGAAGCCAAGTTCAGCACCCCAGTTGTACTTCCAGCTCATGGCCTGGTTGTAGTCCTGCTGTAACTTCTACTACAGGGTGTCAGTTGCCACCTTATTGGGCCTTGTGGTCAGGCGAGAAGCTGAGCAAAGGGGACAGATCCTTAAAGCCACCCATGAGTTTGAGAAATTTCAGTTTCTGTTCCTTGTTTTAAAATCTTCAGCACCCCACTAGCCATACTGGGTTCCCGTCCACTTCCCGGGTTCAGATGCTTCTGTCTTGCCTGACTTCCGATCAATCTCTTTTTGCAAGGCCTTTCACCTCACCTGGTCTATGTGCAACTTGTCCACATTGTTTTTCTTCTCCACCACCCCTCCACGTCTGTATCTGGCTCCTCCTTCCAAGGGTCCACTGTTATGGTGACCTCTTTCTTCTTTTTCTTCCTTTACTGAACCAGATCAACAAGTGGCTTTTCTTCCTTTTTCTTAGCCTTTGTTATCTTCTTCACTCCAGTGTAGGGTGATCTCCTAGTGGGATGTACTCTAGAACCTCAGTTCTGGCTGGCTTCTTCTTCTTTCCTTCCCTAGGGTTGGTCTCCATGGACCTGGAGAGCTCGGAGTGGCCTGGGAGGGTGTCTCCCTCCTGGTGGACTATCTTCTTCTCCACTTTCCATCTGTGTTCTCTGGAGCTGCCCTGCCTCCCTTTCGGTCCCAAGGCTACCTGCTCCTCAGCCCCCTTCTTCACCGTGTACCCACACATAGCATCTCCTGCCTCACAGAGCCGAGGGTCCTGGATGGAGCAGGCCATGGTATCTGGGTCCTTTCCTTCCTTCTTGTGTTTCTTGGGCTTCTTGCCAACTTGGGTTGCCTCCTCACCCAGACTGGAGTGGGGGAGTTCTTCACCTCTGAGGCTTCTGATGTGGCCAAAGGTGAGGTCTTCCTCTTCTTCTTTTTCACCCCACTAAAGGACTCTGAGTGGTCAAAGACCTGCTTCCTGGGGCTCGGTGACTTCTCTGTTTGACTTGTGATATGGGCTTAGATTCTGTGAGCTCTTCATAAAAGGTGCTGTGGCCTGTCTTTTGCTTCTCCTTTTTTTCTTCACCAAAGGTATATGGGACGTCTCTTCTTAGTTTACAGTCCTAGAGGGGGTGTGGCCCTCACAGGAGAATTATCAGCAAAATAATTCCCATCATTTACAATTGCTTATTAATCCTCTGATTCTTTGACAGCCTCCTGTGTCGTCTTCTTTTTCTCTGGAAGCCCAAGGCCCAGGTATACTTTCTGAGTCTTGGTGACCATTTCTACAGGACAAACAGCCTCAATATTTTACCTCTTATTGTAGGCCATTTTTGTTTTCTCTAATATTTTACTCTCATTCTTCAAAGGAAAATTTTTGCTTAAGTCTTTGAAAATATGACTATCATGGAAAATCTTAGAAAGGAAATTTCTAGGTCAAGCATCACATCAACTTAAGGTTATTTGCCTTCTAAACATATACAAATTACTTTCTGGAAAGTTTAAATGGCCTCTTTCCTATTTAATAAGAAAAAGATCATAGTGCTAAAGCCATGGAGGTTGGCAACCACATCTAGGAACTTTAGACATAAAACATTTGTTTATCTCATCTAGAGTCATGTCTTCCAACACCACTGACCTCAAGAACATTGAAGAAGGTAATAAGGAGATTTGCAAAATGTAGAACTTTTGTGGTTGTTAGGGGTTCTGTCTAGTTATCCCCCCAAAGTCGCATACAGTCATGGGGCAGTTTCTAGAGTTTGTGATTAACTCTTGATCAAGTGCTGTATTGTGGGTGTGAGAGCTGTACCTGCCCTGGGGTGGGTAATCCACAAACAATGTAAGAAGGGGAGAGGGGCCTGCTAGCTGCCACCGTTGCTGCCCCTTCCTCTGCTCTGTGCTGTTTTCCACTGCCATGAACTGCTGCCCTCTGCCATGTGCTGCTCTGCCTTGGAACCAGCTGAGTGTGGACTGAAACCTCCACCAACTGTGAGCTACATAAACCTTTCCTTCTTAATTCTGGGTGTCGGGTATTTTGTCTTAGCAATGAGGAAAAAACTAAGAGAGTGATTGTGAGGAAAAGGGATGTCAGCAGGGAGTAGCAGCATGGTCCAGTGGAGAGCGCAATTCCTCAGGAGATGGGACCAGAGGAGGGCAAACAACAGGGGCCAACGGAACAATAACCATTTCACTGACTAAGACACAGCCTAATATTGAGAGTCCCTGCGATGCCCTTGAAATAGCTCTTTATCAGACTAAGGAAAAAGGGGAAGCAAAATGTTCACTTAACCAAGTTTTTCTGAAATTACTGGGGCAGAGGAGATAGCTTGGGGCCGGCAAGATAGATCAGTAGAATAAGCACTTGTCTGGCAAGCACATGGGCCTGCGTTTAATCCCCGGTTCCAAAAAAGAAAAGAAAAAGAAATTATTAAATACTCTGTCATTTGGGGAAGCTAAATATAGCAACAAAATCCAGTTTTGGGGTGAAGCAATGATTACCATTTAAACACTGGAATTTGGAACTAGTGATGTTTAGATATGCTCCACTATAAAAATACAATGGAGGGCTGGCGAGATGGCTCGGTGGTCTAAAGCACCTACTTGGAACAAGCTTGGCAAAGCACAGGGACCACAGTTCGATCCCCCAGCACCACATGCCAGCCAGCCTCTCCCCCTGGTGGGCTGAGCTGGCCACACACACACATAATAAATAAATAAATGTTTAAAAAAATAAATAAAAAATAAAAAAAATAAAAATACAATGGAATCACTACTCTTTTCTTTTTCTTAAGTATAAACTGAAATGAATTACGGCTGGCATGTGACACACCTATTCAATATTTACTATTTGGAGATGGGATTTCCTTCAGGCCACAAAACCCAAATCTTTCTCTTACCAGAGATTTAATAAGTATTAGATGAGGATGTATATCATACTGACTTTCTGGCTTTACTAATTTTACATGGAAATTGCTGAGCCTGAGTGTGAACTTTTGCAATGTTGCCCAGAAAGGACTGGATCTGCAGGGTGAGAGAAGTCTACCTCTGGAATCAGCCCTCTTGAGAGCTGCCCTGTACAACCTGCACTGACCAGTGACTTGGGGGTCATATAAAGCTCATGTGGCTTAAGCCATTAATGTCCTTTATGCAAGGTGCAAGAACACTAGGAAAAAGTAGGATACTATGCCTTTCCTACCAGAGTTCCTGTAAAAAAGTTTGGTTTCATAACTATGCCAAACACATCATCTTTTTGTTGCCCTGAAGAACTCAGATAGTTATTAGGGGGAAAAAAAGGATATAGACTAACATTAAATGATGTAACTAAACATTAATGTGCTAGTTTTCATCAACTTTTCAATTCTGGAAAACTTTCAGATGTATATCACACAGTTCTTGGATGAGTAGAAGGCAATGTCTTGAGTCATCACGCACCGAAGGTCATAAAAGACTCAAGTCAGAGCATTGCCTGTGGTCTTGCTCAGGTTACCGAACCAGGTCCCACTTTCCCCTCCCGTACGTGGGTATGATATACACGTCTTTCCATGAGGCGATGTGAGTTAAACAAGGGCCACAAGTGAGATCCAGCAGCACAGGGAAGGCCTCAGTGAATGCTTCCCCGCTTGCTCATAGGCAGTCCTTTCTGTCCCGGCGTGTGTTCCCCTCTTACCTTTAAGGATTCAGGGAGGCTCTGTGCTAAGGATTTTTGCAGCATCCGTAGCATCTGTGAACTCTGCAAATGGAGCATGTTGGCAGGTAACTTACCCTAAAGAGACAATCAGGAAACATCAAGAAAAAGTAGAAAGGAAGGCAGGTACAGTAAACAATTCCAGTCAGTGGTCTGGGCTCCATCCCGCTGCTTCATGAAGCACCCTCCACTAACCCTTTACTGTAAGAACAGGCTGGCAGTGGGGACAGGTGCCTCCAGAAATTATCTCCAACATTTTCTTTAAAACATAATCTTGTCGCTTTACATATCAAAGAGTGCTGGGACTGAGGAACCTAATTTTTCACAGAACACTTCTCTAACACGCTGCCTACACTCTGCGGTGGCTTCACTCGTGCCCTACCTCCATGATACCTATAAACTCAGCTCTATTCCTTGCATAACGCCTTACTCACACTCTGGCTTTTCCTGAATTTCCTCCCTCTGCGGGCTGAAGCCCTAGCAGAGTCGATCACTTTCTTCACTCTGCTAGGAGTGTTTGTTTCAGCCACAAAACTGGGCACAGCGGATTCCAGATGGTCTTCCACGTTGCAAATTCCTGTGGACAACGCCTCCATTTTTTTATCATTCTCAAAGATTATCACGGTGTCTGACATACATGAAGGACTAAGGACATTTCTGTTTAGTGACATAATGTGCGAAGTATTTGCATTAACATAGCTGTTTACTTAGTCCTTTTGCTCACTAAGCACAAAGATCCACCCACTCATTCCAGGAATAAGCCGTTCTCTGAATATTTGCATCCTCCCTGAACTCATACGCTAAAATTCTGCCCAAGGGGCCAGGGAGATGGCTCCGTAGGATGAGTGCTTGCCTGGTAAGCGCAAGGACCTGAATTCAATCCCCAGTTCCGTCAAAAGTAAAATAAAATCAAATTCTGCCCCCACAGGAATGCTAGGCAGAAGTGGGGCGCTCAGGGGTCCCGAATGAGGGCGAGGCTTCCACGGCAGGGGAGCACAGAAGGGAGCCCCACCATTAGCCAGAAAGCGGGAAGAAGCTTCTGCCGCCGCTCGTGCAGCACTCCGGGTAGGACACTGAGACACGGGGCACACCGAGGCCGACCACGGAAGCGCACGGCAATTCTGTCCGCTGCTCCGTTAAAATCAAGCCGCAGAACGCAGCAGAGGCGCCCAGGCCGAGTCTCAGCCGTCTCGAGACAGAAGGTAGCGCGTCTGGAGGCTCGCTTGGCATGGTGGCTAGGAGCATCTCAGAGGTTACTCGAAGGTAAGAAGCAGGGTGGAATTCGACGTGACAGTACAGGAGCTGGGGTACTAAGCACTGCCAGGCGGCGTGGGTGCTGCGCTGCGCACCCCACACACACGCACCCCGCACACTCACGCGGCTGACTGAAAGGAGGAGCCCGGGGGAGCCGGCGCACGCTGGCGGATTATCAGCACGTACAGCAGCCAAGGTCCGGTGAAAGAAACTTTAAAACTTCTGACACAGCCATTCCAGAATTCAGCCGCCGGGAAAAACAATCCCTATGAAAGAGCTCGGAAACGTTGTGCTGAGCATAGCACTCTTCCTCATGTTGGCGCACATGTTTATACACCACGTTTATGAAGATAAAGAGTTGAGAAGGAAACATCCAATAATTCTCACGAAAGATTAATTTTGAAAAATTAAATGACTAATTCATCACCTGTGTATTTCAGTCCCTACACTCACCCTGCTTAGTCCCCTCGGGACGGGATGGGTTACTCCACTTCCCTGGTCACCCGTTAGCCACGCTGCCCGCCTTCCATGCTCCCAGAGGGTGACCAGGGTACACAGCAGTGTACACTCTGCGGGAAATGTCACCCGGAGCAGAGTGCTTCTGGCCAGCAGGGGCTGGCACATCTTGTCGCCTGCCCACCAAGCGCAGGCTCCCTACTCTCTCCGTATTCACTTAGTGACCCACAACAGAGCCGAACTTCATCCGGGCAGGAGATTCTCTCCAATCTAGCCCCCTGCCCCATGCATAGTCACCCTCTGATCTGGGCTTTTCTCACAGAGGAACTTCTTCTGCTCTGACATAATTCCCAATATGAGTAAGCCCAAAAATTCTTACCCACATCCAGTAGAAGTACTTTGATTCATTCCTCTTTGGTAGGGAGGAAAAGAAAAAGGGTGGGCCCAGAGCCTCTTTTCTCTGTTCTTACCTGCAAATCTGTCTCCTCACTCTCCACAGACGTCTCTACAGAGGCAGCGGGCTATCTCAGATCAATATAAAACCTTCATGTGCACAGGTTTTGAAAGCTGTGCTTTGATCTGGTTTTCCGGATGCTGCCACTGAGCAGAAGGTCCTTATCTTCCCAGCCCCTGACGGTCCTAATAGAACACAGGAACCGCGCTGCTGAGCTCAGGGAGGAATCAAGCTCTGCCCTCGGGGCTCCCTGTGTGGGGAGGTGGCTTTGTGACAGACAGCTCAGCAAGGAGCATCCTACCAGGGCCTCCTCAGCCACTCTGACTCCAGCTAGCTGGGTCCTGGGAGTACATGAATCTCTTCACACCCCTTTGTATATGCAGCAGCAGCAAGAGCCAGCTACTATTCTGATTTCAAGTTTAGAATCAGAGTTCTGTTCTCAGACATTAGTAAAGAAAATTGCCTGAGGAGACTAAGGCACGAGGGTGCTGCGGGGGGTGGGGGGATCGTGCTCAGAGATTTTCAATTTTCCTGTCTCGAGAGATGCCTAGGCTTGTAAGGCGCCACCTGTGTTTGGTTGGTTCCTTGGGGCATGGCCCTGGGGGCTCTGCCTGGTCCCTAGCCCCTCCCCAGCAGGCCTCCCCTCCTTCCAGGGTCCTGGATGCCATGAATGAAGCAGCCCTCCTCCCGCCAGCCCTCTAGATGCATTATTTCTTTGAGGCAGCCAGCCCAGGACTGCAACCTCTGCAGATGGGAGCCCAAGTAAAGCCCCCAGCTTTACTCTGGGCAGGTGCAGGTGCCAGGGGTTTTGCCTCAGCAACAGGAAAGCTAATGCAATGTAAAAGCACAGCCATGCGCGCTGGGGCACACCCATGATCCCAGCACTCGGGGGGCTGAGGCGGGGGATCCTTGCAAGTTCGAGACCAGCCTGGGCTACAGAGTGAGCTCAAGGCCAGCCTAAGCTGCATAGGGACACCCTGTCTCAAAAAGACAAAAACAAACAACATACAAGCAGAAATAGCTTACGATTCTTTTTGTGGACAATATGTACAGTGAACAAGTTCAAGGAGACAAAAAGTATCAGTTGTCAAACCCTAGGAGCAGGGACGAGGACTTTCTGTGTCAAGTGTACAGAATTCACACTGAGCATGATTAAATCTAAGTACCAATAGTGGGCCCAGTTGCACAATACTGGGAATGTAATTTAAAGCCACTGACTTGCACACTGCATATGTTTCCATGTGAGTGTGTGTGTCTATCTGCACATATACATACACATACACATGTATGTCTGTCTATCGATCCATGAAAAACCACACATGAAAAAAGTGATCTTTCAGTCCCCAGCTATCATTTTCCCTGGAGTAAATTTACACTCCTACCTGAGAATGTGTATCTTTAGGTTTGTATTTACTCTCATGTAGCCCTTGGCTTTGCTTTCTCAGAGTAGCTCCAGTTGATCTTGTTACTGGAGTTTAAATAGTTTTAACTATCTAACTTAAGTAAATTTTTAGCAAGCTTATTATTCGTGGACTCTCACTTCCCTTAGTGTTATTAGAGTCTAGAAGCCAACTCCAACAACACAAAAGGGTTTCCACACTCGTTTCCCTTGTAGACCCTGAAAGCGAAGCTAGCCATCTAAGGTGTTAGTTGTACGCAGGGGCGTCCACCCTGAAGAGCCTTATTGAAGCAGAAACCACTGAAGGCTCAGAGCCTCTCGGTTCAAATTCGGTGTTAGCATTTTCTTCAGTGAAGCTATCCGGACAACAAACACCTAGCGGTAGTCTGAGGAGTTGGGTTAGGTACCTGAGACGTGTGCAGTAGCTTCCACAACTAATTTTATCTCAGAGATCAACCAGATTTAACTTCTGAAATGGTGCCAAGTTACCTCAGAGGACTTTCTGGTGGGTTCTAAGGAATGAGGAGGAGTTGGCACAGAATCTCATGATGGATCAGAGCTAACAAAACAGCATTTGGGGTAAGGTCTAACAGCAACATAAGGTAATCATTACAAACCCAAACAGGAAATATTTTTAAGAGACACCTTTATTCTTCCAAAGTATACAATGATAAATGCTTTGATTTTTTTTTCCTTCAGTTTTGACAGAATTGGGCTGGGCATATAGCTCAGCAGTGCGGAGCCTGCCTGGGAAGCAAGAGGGCATGAGTTTGATTCCCAGTACCAAAAAGATTCTTCACAGAATTATACAAAATAAAATAATATTCCTACTCTTTCCAGTTATGCCTTAGGAAGCTGCGACCCTGGTCAGGAAGTCATATATCAGCGCATCTGTCAGTGCTCCTTAAGCCTTTGCTGTCTCTTTCTAGCTACACGCTACAGATTAAGAATGCAGGTTTGGGGGCCATACTGATTTCAGCTCATGAAGGATGGCTTCCTCGTCAGCGGGAAGTGACTGGGGTGGTGGGAAGCTCTCTGGTGGGGCTGTATCTTCTAAAACACTAAGTGTGCCTGCCTCCCAGATACCTGTGAGTACTAAGTGATTTCAAATGTGTGAAGCAACCTAGTACTTGCTAGCTAGTCATAATCTGCATCCAGAATTGGCCAGACTCAGAAAAACAAGCACCATTCTCCTAGGGAATGCAGAAATGAACAAGAGGAAGGGAGGGAGAATGAAGGGCAAGAGGGGGAGGGGGAAGGAGGGGGAGGGAGAAGAATGTGGGAGTAGGGAGGGGAGGGAAGAGAAGAGGAGGTGGAGGAGAGGAAGGGGAGAGACAGAGAGGAGAAGGGGAAGGAGGGAGAAGGAGGAGAGAAGTATGGGAGGGAAGAGAGGAGGAAGCAGAAGGGAGGAGGATGGGGAGGAAGGCGAGGGAAGAAAATGGAGTGGGAGGGAAGGGAGAGAAGGAAGAGGAGGGGAATGAGAACAAGTGGGAGGAGGAGCAGGAGGTGAGGAGGATGAGGGAGGGGGAGGGAGAGGAGGAGGGAGTGGGTAGAGAGGAAGAGGTGGAGAGGAGAACAAGGGAGAGGAAAGGGAGGGAGGGGAGTGGGGAAGTGGGAGAGGGAGGGAAGAGAAGAGGAGGGGGAGGGATGAGGAGAGAGAGAGGAAAGGATGAGGGGGAGAGGAAGAAGAGAGAAACCCTGATGGTAGGCAGTGGACTACTGGGGAAAAGGAATGGAACCAGGGAAGGAAAGGAGAGCAGGGTGAGCAAGAAAGGGTGGGAGGAGGGTGGACACAACTCAGGCAGGACGTAGGTACCTACGCAAATGTCTAGTCCAGCCCAGTAATATGTGCCATTAATATGTTGATATTTATAATTTAATAGATAATGTAAAAAAAGAGAAAAAAACATGCTGCTCCGGTAAGAGGCCTTCGATTCCTGGGAAGACAAAATGCTTTCTTTCCTCCTCAACTGCCACGTACTTGTGAGCAATTTCACCACCATCGATAAAAAATTTTTTCTAAGCACCTGTATTCAGAAACATGTTGCCATCTTCCAATCACATGATCCAGGGCTCCTTAAATTAATTAACTTGCTGCACTCTTCATGTTTTTAATTATTTCTCACATCCTTGGCCGCAACTGCAACATCCGTAAGTGACAAACTGATCAATACTGAATCAGTGCCAAGAACCAGCATCTTACTGCTGTGTGTTCTCCACAGTAGGAGCAGCACTAAGCACCTTACACGCACCGCCTTGCTTAATTCTCTAGCTCTGAGAATGCATCCAATAGAATTCAAGTGTTCTCATGGTCAGTTTAGTGGTGAGAAGACATTTGAAGCACCCATTGCTTAAGCAACTTGACAAAGTAGGTGGGAGAGTGAAACTGGAGCCCGCTTGGAGCCTTAAGCCGTGTCCCATAGGCCAAGCGCTTGGCCCCCACTTTTGATCTTCTTGCTTTTGCTGCCTTCTGCCACTGTGAAATGCTGTGCCAATGTTATGCCACTCTGCCTTGGAACCAGCGAGTATGGACTGAAACCTCCAAACTGTGAGCTAAGTAAGCCTTTCCTTCCATAATTCTGCGTGTTGGGTATTTTGTCTCAGAAAAGTACCAAAGACAAAAGTCTGGTACTAAGACGTAACTTGGTACCAGAGAAGTGGAGTCATTACCATGACCATGCCTAACCCTGTGGTCCAAGAGCCCTTGGAAAGGGCTTGTGGGAAGAGTTTGCAAAGTTTAGATAGGTCACCCAAAGAACAGAGTTAGAAAGCCTTAGACGGTTCTGTACGGGATATCCTGGTCAGAGCTCAAAAGAGCAGAAGGATGACAGAATCCTGCCTGGGAATTCCAGGCTTGAGGGCTTTCTGCTGATAGAAGGACTGCACTGGCTGCTGGACTCCACACAATACATGGTATGGCTTGGAGGAAAGATTGTCTGCATCTTGCTCACATCCAGAGAATTTGCCTGAAGCTGGGGGAAAAAAATTTCAAGACAGTTGAAGGTTGGCTGTGGCATGGCTGGCTATTGTCAGAGCCTTTTACCCAGATCTATGTTGAAACTCAAGCCCAAAACCCAGCAGCGTGATTTCAAATGTGATCTTGTCCAGAAAGGAAGCTGCAGTGAAGCTGTGGACTGCAAACACAGAGCCAAGGAAGATGGCTGAGAAAAATAAGAAAATCCAAAAGATGGCATCTCAGGAGGCAGTGAGGCTCTGCCCTCTGCAGCCCCACCCTGCAAATGTGAAAGGCTCCGCTATGAGGCGAAAGCCACAGAGTGCCGTGTTCCAGAATGGCAGCAGCACAGAAAAGTCCTTCCTTAGAATTGGATCCAGCACGCCCAGAGAACCAGGCACTCGACCCCTATAGCCGAGAGAGAGGAAAGCCTGGCCACTATTCCAGGGGACAGCAGACCTTGGCATCATCCGCATGGTGGTGGTTTTAGGTGTATGCAGAATGCAAGAGTTATGGGGTTTAAAAGACTTCCACCTCAATCTCAGATGGCCTGGGGGGCCAGGCAGTGTGCCCCTGGGAGAGCGGTGTGCATAGCTGTGAGAGAAAAGCCCAAGGTGCGCTGGAGACCCCAGAGGTTTGGATAAGCCACATGTATCACCGAAGGAAGGCTGCAAGGACAGAGCAAAGCAGGCCTGAGGGGAACTGTAACCACCAGAGGTGCCACAGGGGTGGCATCACTCAAGCCCTGTGGAGCCCACAATTTGCCACAGATTGATTCAGCTGCTGGATGTGTGACTACAGGGATGAACGTTTGCCCTGCTAGAGTTTGGACTTGCT